CCAAGAAGTGGTGGTTGGCAAATCAACAAAACACCCGTTCTCAGCACAGCTGCTTATACAAAGATTTATGGAGCTCCTTTGGGAAGCAGCTGAACCAGGCTGTTACGCTGCCTCCCAGGTGCTGTTGTCTCTTTATATTTGTTATTTGTGTTGAGCTCCTGGTTGTATTTCTAAGTTAGAGTGGGTAAATGTTTGTTCTGGAGATGCACTTTGATGCCCTTCTCCTCTGAGCAATGCTGTTATTCATAGAAATGAGGAAATTCAGCGTGCAATAGCTCAGGAAACTCGCTCTTTCCTATTTGGAGCCCTAATTAGAGCAATTAATCACTGCTGCTTCTGCCATCTAAGCTTCCAGGCTGAAATATATTGTCCTCTCTTTTCAGAGCAGAAATGTAAAAATGGTTTCCTTTTACCTGACACTTTGCCAGTAAAACCTTTATCAGTGTCTGCCTCCTACCAGCTTCTATCTTGCCTGAGAGCTAGAGCTGAAAATGTAAAGAACAAATTGACGCGGCTGTTCCCAAAGAAAGAAAAGGTGGGAAATTCAGAGATCAGTTTCTGCTCTGTCTATATGGGGTTCAGTTTGATTTCTCTACATGAACTACCTTTTTGGGGGGGGATATTTTGTGGGTTTCCATTCTGCCATGCAATAAGATAAGCTTTTACAGCTGGAATTAGCTTGCTGTCGCTAGCATTTTTTTTTTAATTGACACTATTAAAAAGTCCTTATGAATGTTAATTCACCAGGTATGAGCCGTGCATGGATGGGAACCTGGTTTCACCATCCCTACTCCACAGTTGGTCTGTCCATGGTTCCTTGACCTAGTGAAATGTTCATTTCTCTCTCCCTCCTCTCTCCCCTCCATGGATGAGTGTGGCTGGATGGTGAGCTGCAGGGATTGGGGACCCCAGATCAGCAAGGGAGCCCTCTCTCTGTCCCCAGAGCTCTACAGATCATGGCCAACTGAGCTTTAGTCTCTGTCCTTCAGCAAGTCATGGTTTCCTTGGACATGTCTATTTGCACTGAGAGGACCATGTCAAAATGACCTCTCCTTCTCTGCTGTGATGCTAATCAGTCCTCGGTTCCCTCACCATGCCAGTGATGGCCAGTGAACTTGGCACTCGTCCATGATCAACACATTATGATGTCCATGATCAACGCATTTTGGCCATGCACATGAAAGGCTAAAAAAGAAATCCCAATGCGCAGCTATGAACATGGTTGGTACCAGATTGCCAGTTTCATCTAGTCACAGATAAAGCATCTAAAAAGTCTTTGAACAGTCATCCGGAGGTCTGAAGCAGTTCTAGCTGCATATCTGAGGCAAGCTGAAATTCCTGCTATTGTTAGCCTATGCTGCACGTTTTGAGTGGTGTGACAGCAGGTTTGTGAAATATGCATTCTGGTGTAAATATCTTCTGCTGTTGCCTCACCAGTCAGCTTTATAACCTCCTCTAATGGAGCAGCTCTCTGGATCAGGGATGTTAACACTAATATATTTGTCTTTTTGCTGCCCTTAATGAAAAAGTAATGAACTATGAATGAATGAACAGTTCCACCCTGTTTATGCTTTTCTCTTTTCATGCTTCAATGTGGAAATGCATTTACTGAACCAGGGCCAGGGCTGCTTTTTGACTTCCAAGGCAGATCCACCCAGGAAACCTTTCAATGCATGTGCTCGCCCCCTGAGCTCTGCATCTTGCAAATCTGAAGCAGATTAAAAAACTGCCACAGCCTTCAGTGAAGCATAGCGCATAGTGTCACAAGGGTGATGTACCAACCACGGGACACTTGAAAAGGTTTTCCATGTCTTGTTCCTTATTTCTGTTTACTGCCTCCCCTCCCATTACACTCGATTTAGGTGCACACGTGCAGCCTCTGCACCCACCACCACTGTAGCAGGTCTGGGGCCTTGGCATTGAGAAAGCTCCTTTTGCCAGGCATTTCTCCAGGTGCATGTGGGGGCTTCACAAGGTCCCTGCACACAGGCAGCAGATGCTGGATAAGAGGTGCCCTGAGAGACCACAGTTTATTGTCACTGCAAGACAAAGGAACACGTGGTCCGCTATGGATGGAGACATGAAGCTCTGCAGATAAACAGTGGTCCATTATTTAGACCACTGTATCCAGGGACATCTAGATGAAGATGGTGTCCTTCACTATTTTCTGGTAACCCTCCAAGGACTTCATTCCAGGGGAAGGCTGTATAATAGCCAAGTGTTATTCAGCACAGTGGTCCGCTCCCGTGTAGACAGAACCACCATCCTGTTCCCTTCATCATGACAAACAGCATTTCTTAGCAACAGTTTTAAGTTTCATTTCCATTAGCTGCTTTTTAATACAGAATTAATGTGAGTATATCGATTGCCATACACCGTATTTGCAACTCAGGAGTTCCTTGTCAAGCCATTTATACGTTCAGAGTCTTTAGGCTTGACAATGTAAATCCAGCCCTTTTTGGCTTTGGATCCTTATTTGGCTAGCAGATAAAGAAACTGGTGTGGAGAGCTATGCCTGAGCTCTTCTGATTTTGAGCAAGACTCACAAGGAAGACTCACAAATAGTATCATATGTGATTTTCTAAATCCCCCAGTCTCATTTTGGTGTTTATAATTTTTCTGGTTACTAATGATTTGTCACATGAAGAGAGTTTTACGCCATCCAGAACCTCAGTATATGCCTAAAAAAAAAAAAAAGAAATCAGGATGTACGGCTCCTGGAATTAATTCAGCCAGTGACTATGTATCAAAACATTGTGGAAACATTTAGTTCTTGTCAACTGTTTCATTTAGGTTTCTTCCATTTTCCCAGGATTCTAGTTTAAATAATCTGCATGTGTTGGTAGCTTCTGCAGCACTTAGGAAAATCCAACTATCACAAACTGCAACAAAATAGTAATTTCTTGGTGGTTCTCTCCTTTCTGGTGCAAGCATGAGCTCCCCCTGGCAGGACCTTTCTAGGACCTCCTGATTTCTAGGACCTTCTTGCCTTAGAGCTGAGAAACTGCTTTCTGCTTGGGTCTGCCACTGACAATCCTTTCTGAACCTCTTTGGGAGTTCATTTGCTGTAATTGTGAATCATGCCCACCTCAAGACTGTGCACAGCTTGTGCAGACTCCATGACATGAGGGTCTGATTGCCTCGGACAGGATATTGTCACCTGAAGCTTTCCTGAAGCAAATGAACAGTGCTTCTTCCTCCCTCACTTGTGAGGAACTGCCCCAGTGTGGATGTTTGCATAAAAGCCCTCATCCCCGTTATGTGCCAAAGGCCTTTCCTGACCTAGACAGGAATTACTGGGACTGAGTAATTTGTAGGATAGCTCTATAGACTCTCCTTAAATTTAATAATTGAAACACTTGGAGATTTCCCTGTGCCTTTTAGTGAGTGAGCTTTTTTATTCACTTAAAGTGTAGAACCTGGAAAAAAAAATCTGAAGGAACTTTCTCTAAACCCAAGTATTACGTTTCCAAAAATACATCTTTGGAAGAAAAACCCTTTTAGATATCACATGTATTCTTCTGGTTCCTATTCCAGTTTCTTAATATAAAACAAATGAATGCATTGGAACGTTTAGGTTTCCATACCCCTTAGGAGGATCACGACAAGCTTTCTCTCCTCCCACACTTCACTTCTTTATCCTTTGCTAACAATGGCCACAGAGGAGGCCCACTGGTGAGGATGCTCGTGGTTTTTAGTTAAATCCCTACATCCTCTACTGGGATAAATGACTCATTCCCAGCAACCATGAAATAAACTTCCAAAGAAGATCCCTACTAGACAAAACCAAGCCAGGTCATGGTAGGAGCAAAAATCCATAAGTGAAACACCAGGAGCTCCTGCTAGGTTGTGTTTCTACTAGAATACATCTGCTGGATGGTTTCACTCAGGACATTGGATACTCTGTGATCTGGTGATGAGTCAGAGCCGTTTTGTTTGCACTTTCTTCCACCAAGCTCGTGGAGGTCTTCCCAATATCTCGAACTCGTCGAGTGAAGGAGGAGCAGGCTGCAATGTCATCAACACTCCTTACCCCGGGACAGACTCACTGAAGTCAAGGGCAGCTGGGTCTGAAGAAGGAATGAAAGAGGACGTCAGGATTTATTCCTTTGTGAAACAAAATATTCTCTTACTAAGGAGTCCTAGGACTTCTTATATCACTCAGTGATCAGTGTCAGGTTATTTAGGATGACATTCGGGTCATAAGCTGACAATTACAGGTAAACTTCAGGCGCCCCAGCACTGGAGGGATGGACATAGTACAGCTGGCCAGCAGAAAGTGTAGCTGATCTAAACCATATTTTGAAAGCACCAAATTGTGCACAGTCTTCCCATGGGACATCTGGGCTGGAGTGGGTTTTGCTCATAGAAAACTATGCGGAATTAGAGCCTCAGGATTGATAACTGCAACAACATAAACATGAAAAAAAAGCATTGCATGCAACTTAAGTACTCGGGATCCTTTCAGTAACTTTGTTTGGGCAGTGCCTCCTTTGAGGCACAACACAATATTGCACAGAATTGTTGCAACATGTGTATGAAGAAGAATTCCCCATTTTGATGCGTTGGTTGGTGGGGTTCCTGGAGACCACCTTGTACCCACTAAACTACTAGCAGATCAGCCATTACTGACCCAGGAGCACACACTACATACCAGCATGTAATTAGGGATTAAGAAATAATTAAGGAATTTTAAAAAGTGGACAGCGATGATGGGATATTCAATCTTACTCATCCTTATGCGTTTTAATTGGAAATATGAGCCTGTATTAAGAAGAGGTAACTCCAGTGCATATAAAGAGCGTTGTCATATAAAATTAACAGATCCAGACTTCTAATAATGTAATTTGTCCAAAATACTGGAATGTCCTGTAACTAAGAAATAATGAACTTACTGAAGCAGATTTGGCTTCATGGTAAAACCTGGAGTTTAATGTCATAGCTCCACTCGTGCAAGTTGTAAATCCCTGAAAAACATGTTTTGTAATGAAAGTGGTAATTAAATCCTTCAGTTTCATTTTTACTGTTAGGCATTGTGCTAAGACAATGAAGAATATGAAATGAAGAGCATTAGGCTTTTCTTATAGGATATGCTGTGCTTTAAAACGTATTTTATTGATCCTAAAAGTACAATATCAATTATTGACATTTTTTTTTGTTGAGGATCAATCTTGGATTAAATGGCAATGTGAAGAAAAGGTTTTCATATGTACTATGTCTAAAAGCAGAAACAGATTGCCTTCCTCGCGTGAACATTAGAAAACCTTTTCTGATGGTTAAACATTATGTCTGAAATATATCTAAGTTGTACCAGCCACCATAGCGCTTTTTGGTGAACCAAAGAAGTCCTACAGTGAAATCAAACTTTGAGCATAGTCTGCATTAGTTTTATACAATATCCCCCTAACGCCATTTTTTTTTCCTGATTTTAGAGTCACATATATTCTGTCTGTCAACTACAATGCAAAGTACAAGTAACGGATTCAAGCAAGGATGTTGGAGTGTGGAAATAATTCATGTGAATTGCCAATAGGCTGGTGGGAATCTGTTTTCTCCACACGAAGGCAAATCCTGCGGCATCAGAGGTGGCGGGCGGGATTTTCCGCCCTGCCTGCGTGGCCCGGCGGGCCCGGGAAGCGGAGCCGCACGGAGCTACCGCCGACCAAGAGCTGCGAGCGGGTGAGGACCGAGCAACGCCAGCCCCGGGAGGAGAGGAAACGAGGAAAACGAGGTTTGTTTTGAGGGAAAACCAACAAAGAAACGAGCAAGCTTGCAGCTAGCATCCTCCAGCGACGTGGACCGGTCCGGCCTGCATGTGCCTGGATGGTCACGCGACAAGGAATGGAAAATAAAGGGACACGACGAGTCCTCTCGGGTAATTAACCTACACTCTGATGCTTCCCACACCAGCCTATTTTCAATTTCGGCACAGTACAGTTTATACACTCTAACATTATTGCTCAGAAGATAAGAGTGATGATTCAGGTTTACTAAAAATGGCTCCACAAATGCTGCAATCATGCCTGTGGAGCTTCGTCTTGTATTCTGTATTTATAAGTTTATTCTCACTGAGAAATAAATACGCTTAGTGTTTTGTCAGAAAAGTTAGTCACCAGATAGATACCTGAAACGCTTGTATACCATCTTTAAGAAAACATGGCTTGTTTGGTCAATTTGCCTGCCAATATTTTTTTCCCTATTTTTTTTGATTGTTTGTTTTAGATGTGAACGATACCATAGGTGACCTCCCTTAATACTGCTGTCGATACAAGCAATACAGGAGAAATAACACACCACTGCTGCGCCCTCCCTGCCACGCTGCCAGATGACCAATATTATTTTAAATGTTATTTGCTGTGGGTGTTTCATGTCACTTGTGCCCAGACCCACTGAAGTCAATGAAATGACGCCTACTGGCTTCCACGGGAGTCTGACTTAGACTTTATTCTGGCAATCTGTCCTCCACTAAATTAAACTCTTTCTTTTACAGGGGAAAAAAAACAGCCCAAATGAAGAAAAAAAACAGAAATTCAGGAACTAAAACTGAGGCGCAAATAAATACTTGAATAGAATGGCGTCGTGAACAGATTCAGATAAAACATACACACACACACATACGCACGCAACGAAAGAAAAGTGCTATGGATTTAACAATCTTAGAAGTTCATAGTTTAAAATTGTTTACATTTAAACAACTGAGTATAATAGGTAGCTTTCTTGACTTTCCGTTTATTTCCCTGAGCACTGATCTTTGGAACATCTGGAGTTTCAGAACTGTCTAGTTAGTAATTTCTAAAATAGTCATCTTAAGTAAAATATTGTCTTTTTTTATGTCAAAAATTAATTCCTTAAGTAAAACTAAGATACAGTTCCCATGAACTACAATGAATATAGCCAATTTTTTTTTTAAAGACAACAGCTATCGTTAGGCTTCTAAATCCGTATTTAGGCACCTTACTATTCTGTTTTTCCAAGCCACCCTGCACTTAGCAGTTCCCATTAATTCAGTGCAGGGTACCACGCTCTCTTATAAATAATTCATCTATTTGGATACCTACGTAGGCATTTAGCCTCCTTGCTCAAGTTTCTCATTTTGCGAAATGTCTTGGCTATATAAACAATGCAGTACGCTGCGGATTTGGTTTTGTGCCTAATTAAGTAAGTGCCATAGGTAAATCCTGCAGGACTTCCCCCAAACTTCCCGGGAAGGGGTTAAAGAGGTGCATCTGCAGAGAGCCAGCATAAAGCCAATCTCCAAGACTAAAATGGGACCCAGACAGGGCATATGTTTTACTCTGGCCTTCTGCACAAGAAAGTCTTCCGGCCATAAAAAAAAAAAAAGAAAAACCTGTACTTGAGTTTTCTGCTATTTGGAACTAGTTGGTAAATTTGTAACTGCTGTTTTGGACTTCCTTGCGTAGATTAGAGATTGAAATACGAGCTTCACAGGAAACAGTTTGTAATTTTAAGATTTCTAAGGCATTCTTCGTTTTATGTTATACAAAGTGTGCAAGTCCAAATATTTGGAAAACAAAACATTGCAGAGAGACTTGGGTATTTCTAGGCTAAAATCTCCTTCCAATTCCATAGCAGTAAATTACGTCAGTCTCTCTGCAGCTAAAAATTTAAAAATAATTTTTCCATCAGCCACAGAAATACACTGTAACATTGCATTCCCTTAACTCTTTCTCTCTATCTTTCTCCTGGTATCACTAGCACTATGCAGCAGGCTCCAAATAGAGGATTAACAGAAAGGTTCTTATTTTATCAGATTTCACTTCAGTGTGCAATAACGGGGGAGGGTACTGAACAAATGCAATCTGAAGAGGAGCTTTTTGGTTCTTGGTAAAACATGAAATTAAGCCTTCACCTGTTCTCAGAAGATGTTAGAAATAAAAATAAAAAGCCATGCCTGCTTCTCTTAATTACCACGTCCTTATGCTAACTGATACTGGCATTGCACAGCAGAATCCAAAAGGAGGATTTAGCAGTTTTTTTTTTTTTCTCTTTGCAGAAATCCTTTTTAACACCTCTCAGTTAAGAAAGAGTTAAAAACATACAATCCCCTTATAGTTTTCCTTTTCAGGAATTAAAGTGGCATCTTTAAAAACAAAAAATACATATCTTGCACTGTAATGGGAGTATAAATACAGTTTTGAAAACACATTTGGAAGATGTCTTCCAAGATGGTTTATCTCTCTCTCTCTTTTTTTTTCCCTTTAAAACTGTGACCATTGCATCAGTTAAGGCTGTTTTACAATATATATATATTTGAAATAAAACTTTAATATTCAAGCTTACCAGATTGATGGATTGTAACAGGTAAAATGGAATTCTTTACAAAGTAAACCGTGTAGTTGTACAAAATAGGATTAAACCCTTCACCTGTGTAAAACAAAAAGAAATCCTGCCTTGCATTGAAAACACAGAACCTGTTTACAAAAAGGAATGTGTATGACATTTGGACTTCCTTTTAACTGCCGTATCCTGGTAACATCTCAATTGTTTCAGTAAAGGAACTAATCACCAATTCTAAATTGCAGTGAATTTACCAAACATTTTCACTATAGACTTCTGAAAGCTTTTACAGTAAGAAGTTATCAACAAAAGCAGGCACGTTAGTGTACAAAAACGTTGTTGATTTTTTTTCCTGTTTCTTTTTCAAAGTGCAGGTTTTTTTTTTTTTTTCTTAATGTGCATCTTACAAGACCAACGAAGGTTTTAACTCACTAAATCTTAAAACAGAACTCAATTCTCCAAAGAGTAGTGTAAACGTTTAAGGATCCCCAAAACACTTCTAGTAAACGTGACACGAATGTCTCTGCGTTGTATAGAAATTAAGCTCTTTTGAGAGGTAACGAAGCTTCATTACACTTTTTTTTTTTTCCTATTTTTTCTTTTAATCTCCTTACACTGGCTGGTTATCATAAATGGGGTAACTCTGGACTGCTAAAGCTGGAAACGGATGAATCGCTGGAGGGGAACTACGCTTGGCTACGGAGGGAGGCGGCGGCGGC